AAAAAANAAAAAAAAAAGGAATTTTGCTAAATTATATGGTTATTAGTACCTTAGCACGCTATTAGCGGTTAATATGCTAATGGAACATTAAGTTGCTTGAAATATGCATTGAAAAATATCTAATCATATGTGATTATCGATTAAAATTCAATGATGTAAATAACTATTTGTTAAATTAGATCGAATGATTTGGTTATGAATATTTCGTGGAATATCTTCTAATAATCATATCCATTTTTACTATCATTATTATCATTTTCATGCATACGGTATATTAACTATCATCTTATCATAATATCTTATGGTAATTATTAAATGATATTTATGGGAAAAAAAAAAAAGTTGTAAAAGTAATAAATGAAACAGTACAAATTTTGCTTGGCTAAAAAATGAAGCCAATTTTTGCATAATAATGCATTTTCATTTTCATCCATCTATCCGTTCATTATTTACCTCTACGCTCTGCCCGTCTGTCCGTTCGTTCTTCCGCTCATTTTGTTCGTCCGCCCATCCGTCCGTCCGCCCATTCGTCCGCCCGTCCATCCGTTCATCCATCCAAACCATCCATCCGTCAATTCAATCGTTCATTCATTTCGTTTTTGTTCATCTCTCATTCATCTTAATTTAAATTATTCGGAAATATTTCGTTTAATCATTTGAATTAAACGAAAAATAAAAGAAGGAAAAGCATTGAAAGAATAATGGATAGAAATAGTTAGCAAAATTTGCTATCCATACTTTTATCTTTACATACGAATTTCTTTTGCAACCAATTTTAGACTGTTCAAATAAGCCCTTCTTCTTCCAATTTCTTTTTTCTTTTTTTTTTCTTCCCTTTGCTTTCAACTATTTAAATCACATTCATAGCATAAGTTATTCATTTTCTTTCTTTCTTTCCTTTCCTTTTTTTCCATTTCCAATATTATTATAGTGTCTACTTTTGCAACATCCATTTACTTCTAATAATTGCAAAAATCTCTACAAGGCTCTATATGCCTTATCCATTATTTATCTGTCTAGCTTATTTTATCTTAAATTTATATAACAAACATTCATTTAAATCTAATAGATAATAAATATTGTCAAACTAATGTTTACAATTATCTGATGCTTGTTAGTGTCACCATTGTCAACGTGTCATATATATATATATATATTGCACTAAATCTTTTTGTTCAAAAGCTATTTCCTTCCTCATTTTTAGCTACCGTTTAAAAAAAAAAAAAGAAATATCGAATTTTACTTTTTTTTTTTCTTTTTTTCATCATTTTGCCTTTCCCTCTCCATTCGATTCACTACACTCTCAATTTAAATTTCTCCTAAAGAGTAGAGCAACCAGTGGTGATAATGTATGTGTGTGTGTGTGTGTATGTGTATATACATATGTATGTATATATGTGTATGTATGTATGTGTGTGTATGTGTATGTGAGTGTGAGTGTGTGTCACCATGACATTTTTGCACCTCTAGCGATCTCATCGAAGCGTATTGGGTCGTCTTCTACTGTTGTTCGTATCTTTTCCATCTCCCGAGATGCTTCTTTTTTTTTTTTTTTTTTACCGGTGAAATTTCCAAGAATCGAGAATTATGCTATTCATCATATAAATCTTTATAAACTTTATAATTTATAATAATTGTATTATTCCGGATTGATTAAAATACGGAAATTTGTTTACTTAATTCTTGCCCTTTTCTTCTTTTCCGCTTTCCGTTCTTTTCCCCATCCATTCATTCATTCATTCATTTTAATCATTTACTTTAAATATTTTCCTGATAATTATTAATATTTTGCCTGACAAATTACTGGTAAATTTGGGTAAATTATTCGGGAAATTATCGGTAAGTGGGTAAATTAGTATCGATAAATTATCGGCAAATAGTATCGGTAAATTAATATAGGTAAACTATCCAGGGAATTATCGGCAAATCGGTAAATTATCCGGGAAATTATCGGTAAATCGATGAGTTAGGATGGGTAAATTATCGGTAAATATTAGTAAATTTATTACTGTTATTATTATTGATAAAGATAAAAAGATGAAAATTACATTACAATAAGAGATTATATTTTTGTATTAGGAAAAAATGAAATTAAATTTGCAAGAAATCAGAATAAAAAAAAACGGATTAATGCTTATATAAATGAATTTTAAATATGAAAAATATGCAAATATTCATTCCATTAATTTAAATACATTTTTTTATTTTAGCATCATAATCGAATGATATCAGGTTTATACATTATTCCG